CCCCATTGTATTTTTTAATTATCCTTCTATTTCCAACCAAATTTCTTTATAGGAGTAGCTCTCAGATATTTCAATCTGTTAATGTGCAGAATGATTTCTCCAAATGCACATCTTTTAAGAGCTCCTGCCACTTCACAATAACCTTTTCATTGAGAATTGATCCCCACCCCCAGTACACACACACACACACACACACACACACACACACACACACACACAGCGGGGCGGGGCGCGCGCGCGCGCGAGAGAGAGAGACCTCTAGTGTTCAGCTATGGACATTGCGACCCCACCTTCCTACAGCCCATCAGAACTAACTCTGATGCACAGGGCAGATAAGACAAGCGGTAACAGAAATGCGGACAAAATTAAGGGCCGGGAAGACTGGGGAATTCAGGGTAAAACACTCAGATGTTGGTGAGTGCAACAATGATGTCGTTATTCTAGCTGTGGCTATTGGTAATGCTGACACTTTGAAGGAACAGGCATAAGTATTGTGTTGAGCAGGCACAATCAAAATGACACCTGCTACAGTGGAGCTGGGCTGGACAGTGACACAGATAGTACAGATCTTGCTTTGAGGGTCTTCTGATGGAAGGTTAGCTCCTGTTGGGATCGTTGAATTAAAGGGAAAGTTGTTTGAATGGGACATGCATTGGATAGACCCGAGGGGGGAAGAACTTAGGGTAGAAATCAAGAAGAAAGAAAATTAAGGCACTCAGGTTTGGCAAACCAATCAGGTGGAAGAGATGGAAAGAAACCAATTTAAGTAGCAAGGTAAACTGCAAGAAACTCAGCTGAGCTTTCCCTTTCTGGGATCACTGTACAGTAAAGGGAACTGAAACACTGAGCACTCAGACATGCAAGGCCTGGAGAAAGGGAATGAATGTCTTGAAGAGCAAGTGACAGAGGCCTCTCCCTCCTCCAGACCAAGGACACCAGATGCAGCAGCATCAACAGCAGCCGCCAAGGGCACTTTCCAAATGATCCTGCACATGGTGCCACCATGAGACATCATGGGGAATCAACCCTAAATAAGGAATGGATTATAGAAAGATATCCTCAAAATCCTACGCAAATAAAATTCTGCCAAAGACAATTCAAAAATGGTTACAGAGGTAATTGACAGTAAACTGCAAGAAATGCAGTTGGATTCAAAAGATTATGTGGAGTGAGGGATGTTTCTGCTGATGTCCAATAAATCTTGGCTGAGCACAGAGACTACTAAAAAGATGTCTACTTGTAGTTTTTGATTATGCAAAGGCATGGAGCTGCGTGGAGCATAACTAACTCTGTATAACATTTCAAAGAATGAGAATTTCAGAACACTTCATTGCGCTCCGGCAGAACTTGCACACAGAGCAGAAGGCAATCATTTGAATAAAACAAGGAAATACTGCATGATTAAAAGCAGCAAAGGTGTACATTGTTTCCTTTCACCGTACCTACATATTCGTTGTATATGCTAAGCAAATAATCCCAGAAGCTGGACTATATGAAGAAGAATGTATTATCAAGATCGGAAGAAAGGGTTCATGAACAGCTTGAGATAGGTAGATGACACGATCTTGCTTACCAAAAATTCAAGAGACTTAAAGCACTTACTGATGAAGATTATAGACTACAGCTTTCAGTATGGATTACAACCATCTCTTCACAACCTAAATCAGTGGTTCTCAACCTTCCTAATGCTGGGACGCTTTAACACAGTGTGTGTTGTGGTGTCCCCCCAACCATAAAATTATTTTCATTGCTACTTCATCACTGCAATTTTGCTACTGATATGAATCGGTGAGCCGTGTGAAAGGGTCGTTCAACCCCTGAAGGGGTCGCGACTCACAGGTTGAGAACCGCTGCCCTAAATCCTCACAGCTAGGCCATTAGACAACAACATGATTTAAAAAAAGGAAGAGACTGAGGTTGTCAAAGATTTCATCTTACTTGAATCTACTATTAATGCTCATGGGATAACATTAGGAAAAATCCAAAGCAAAACTCCAGGCTGTCAGCCAATTTGGACTCATTGTGACTCTATTGAACAGAGCAGTACTGCCTCTTTGGATTTCCAAGGCTGTAAATCTTTATGTGAGCAGAAAGCCTTAACATTTCCCATAGAGTGGCTGGTAGATTTGAACTGCCAACCTGTGGTGAGCAGCCCAACACATAACCCACTATGCCACCAGAGTGCCTGCTCATGAAAGTAGCCACCAAGAAACCAAATAACATAGTGTTGCCTTGGGCCAATCTGCTGCACAAAACCTATTTAAAATGTTAAGACTAGGGTGAAGATCATGAGGAGAGCATCGGGTTCAGCAGCATCCCATTTTGTTGAGAATGGTTTCAACATGAATCAGAGCCAATGCAACAACAGCCAACAACCACAGCCTAGCACATATGGAGTCATGGGTTACTTTTTGAGCTGCTAGCAACAAGGTCAGCAGCTCGAATCCACTAGTTGCTGTTTGGAAGAAAGATGAGGCTTTCTGCTCCTGTAAAGATCTACTGCCTTGGAAACCCAGGAGCAGTTCTACCCTGCTCTAGAGTCACTACGAGGTGGAGTGCAGTATAGCACCCATGAAACATACAACTTTGCTCTAGTTCTTTAATGCTTCCTGCCCTCACCCCACCCCCACTATCATGACCCCAAATCTACCTTACAAATACAGATAAGAGCTCGAAACACAGAGAATCCAGGACAGATAAACCCCTCAGGACCAATAATGAAAGTAGCAATACCACGAGGGTAAGGGAAAGGTGAGGAGGAGGGAGGAAGGGGGAACCAATCACAATCGACATATAACCACCACCACCCTTGGGGGTATGGACAAAGGAAATGTGGGTGAAGAGAGACAGTGGCCAGTGTAAGACATGAAAATATATATATAAATTATCAGGGAGTCATGAGAGAGATGGGGTGGGGGAATGAGGGAAAATGAGCTGATACCAAGGGCTCAAGTAGAAAGAAAATGTTTTGAAAATGATGATGGCAACATACGTACAACTGTGCTTGACAAAATGGATGTATGTATGGATAAGAGCTGTAAGACCCCCCAATAAAACGATTTTTTTTAAAGGAAGAAGAGAAGAAGATATCTTTTCATGAAGATATCTATGAGACGTTACATTACATTTAGCTGTGTTGTGAAGATAAGTAAACAATATTCCAGTGGCTGAACACAATGAAGTTCATTTATTACCTAAGTTGCATGTTTTCCACAGATTGGTGGAAGTTGAGGAGTTGCGGGCACAGGCTCACTCTACATGTCGTTCAAGGACCCAGGCTGCTAGAGGCTCACCATTTGGAATGTTGGTGTGGTGGTTACATAATCTGGGGTCCATTTGAGGATTAGGAGTGAAGGGATGGAGTCTAACCTGTCAGTCATCATATAGCCAATGAGGCCTTTGTGTGGGCATGACTTTCTCCTGAGAGTTCTGGGAAATCTGGTTTTTCCTCCTTGGAGGTGGGAGAGGCTCTCTGCTCACTCCCTGGGAGACATTGTAGCTGACAAGACATGTGGAACTACAATAGTGCCCTGAGCTGGAGACGCCACATGGACCTACCCTGATGCAACCGGACCTCTGAAGTTGGAGAAGCCACGTAGAGATCCCTGCCAGTGCTGGAGATGCTTCCAATGCCACTGGATCCAAAGACTTCTCACCCACTGGCCTGTGATCATCCTGCATTCGGTGTCATTGCATGTGTTTCGTGAGTCTGAAGAGGACTTTATAGATTGGTATCAGACATATGGGCTAATTTTGGGTTTATGGACTGGACTGGGTTGGGATGCTTTCTCAATGTTCAATTCCTCTTGTATATAAGCCTAATTCTTATAGACATATGAGTGTGTCTATGAATTTGTTTCTCTAATTTACCTGGACCAACAGAGTAGGTAATTGTGAAAAGAAGAGCGGCAATTGAAGTGATCTCCTCTCATGTCAGGTAGGAGTGGCACACTTTATGGTTACCCACGTCCATCGGCCAAGGAGCCCTGGTGGCATCGTGGGTTATAAATTGAGCTGCTAACTACAAGGTCAGCAGTTTTAAACCACAAGCTGTTCCACAGGAGAAAGTCCCAGAAACGCACATGGGCAGTTCTACCCTGTCCTGTAGGGTCACTGTGAATTGGAAGCCATTGGATGGAAGTGAGTGAGAACTCATTGGCCCACACTAGTCACATGATACTAATCAACTATAAACGGGGCTAGGAAATGTGGGGTAGCACATAAGATATTTGGTGAACACCACCGTTTCTGCTCCCACACCCGGGTGGCTATGTCAAGTAGCCCTCCGGATGGATTTGGAACGTTTTGTGTAGGAGTCATGAGCAGACAGGTGGCATTTAAAGCCCATCATTCTACCCTGACTTTCTCATTATGAATCTCCGTGGCCTAATAGGGGAAGTGGCATCTCTTTTTCTGACATGAAGGAAATGAAAATCCAGATGCGTGGACACTTTCAAACCCGGCAGTGTAGTGGATTACACATTGGGCGGCCAATTGCAAGCTTCCCCATTGGAAACTACCTGCTCCTCACTGACCCACAGGTGAGGCTGCTCAACTCCCGTGCACAGCTACCCTCTCCGAGTCAGCATCAATGTGATGTAAGTTTGCTTTCTCTCTCTCTCTCTCTTTCTTTTCTAATAGTGAAATGAGCAGCATAGAGGCATCTTCCAACTCACAAGGCAGATTTCGCTTGGGATCAAAGCGATTTTAAAAAAAATTCATTTCATTGGGCTCATATAAATCTTATCACAATCCATACATTAATTGAATCAGGCATGTGTGTGATTGGGCTAAGCTGAGGCAGACCAGGGCCTGCTTCCCCGTATGTCCATACCCTGAAGGTCAGCAGTGGCCCCCTGGAATGAGGAGATCAAGAATTGGCACCAGGGATGCCTGACTCCCTGATAACTGGACACACTGCCTGCCAGAGCCGATAAACTGCATCCTGGCCACAAACCTTACCGCTGATCTCCTAGGCCATAAACCTCACTGCTGGCACCATGGGCCATAAACCTTACCGCAGCAGCTCGGACCTCCCCTTCCCCCGCTTTCCTTTAAAAATCCCAGATCCCGAACAGGACCCCGCGACTCCCCTGGGCTACTTGCTAGCCCATGGGGCTTTGGCCGGGAGCTCCCCTCTAATAAAGCTATGTCTGTTTCTGCTCTCCCTTTGTCCTGTCAGCGATCTTTGTCCATCTCCCTGTGCCTCAGTTTACCTCTCACTCGTCCTGTGCCTCAGTTCCTCTTTACAGTTTGTACATATGTTGCCTTCATTCTTTTCTGGACATTTACTTTCTATTGGGCCCTTGGTATCAGCTCTCCCGCCCCGCCCCCCCCATAACCCTGTTAGATTGTACATTGTTATTTTTTTCATCTCTAACACTGACCACTGTCTCTCTTCCCCCATGTTTTCTGTTGTTCTTCCCCCTGTAGAGGGGTGTAGGGTTATGTGTAGATCATTGTGATCGGTTCCCCCTTTCTCCCTTCCTCTCCCCCCTCCCCCTCGCCTTCTGGTATCACTATTCTCACTCCTGTTCCTGGATTCTGTGTACATGTTCCAGTCTAATCTGAATTGAGAAGCAGCACTGGGGTCGTGGTACTGGGGGGTGAGGAAGCCTCAAGGAACCAGAAGAATATAGTGTGTTTCATCGATGCTTTACTGCACTCAGGTGACTCGTCCCTTCCCTGTGGCCCCTCTGTGGGGAGATTGTTCCACTGGCTACAGATGGGCTTTGGGTCTCTGCTCTACACCCCCTCATTCTCAGCAAAATGTTTTTGTTTGTTATGTGTCTGCTGATGCCTATTACCTGGTCCCTATGACTCCTCATGATCTCACGGCGGTGTGCTTCTTCCAACTGCGGTGTGATTCTTCCACGTGTTGTGATTCTTTGACGTGTTGCTTCACTGATGAATGGCGGCTTGTGTAACTTCAAGCCTTTAAGACCAACCTCTCTGAGACAAAGGCTTTTTCTGGTAAAGCCTTCCTAGAAGGTGCCTGAGGCAGCCGGGCTGGACTCACACAAAGGTGAGAAGGAACATTTGAGACTTTTACCAAGGAAGACATGGAAGGCCAAGATCACAGAGTAGAAGCCAGAGTTGTTGTTTCAGGTGACAGTTAACAAAACCTAGGTCAGGAATGAATATCAGTTCCCGGGTGGTACAAACGGTTACAGTTGCGTGGTTACAATTCCTTGCTCAGCTGAGTGTTAGGAAACACCTCCTTGCAAGGTTTGGCCTTAGCTGGGCGCTATGCACTTAGGGTAGTGAATGGTTCAATACACCCATATAAAAAGGTCTCTAGGGAAC